TATCTATCTGGGTGAAATGAGGACCCAGACTGTGGGGGCGATATGCTGACTCTGTAAACCGCTTAGAGAGGGCTGAAGTGGCCTGCAGTCCTGCACCCTACCCACTGCGCCACCTCGGCTCATATTTCTGCAGCTGGCGTGCGAGGTGCACAAGTTCATAGCCTTCCGCAGCACCTCGTTGGTGGATGTGATTTATGACACAGATGGAGGGGAAGGGAGACACGGGTAAAGTTCAGACACCATTAAGCGGAAATAAGATTTGGCTCCACCGCAGAAGAAAATGCCAAAATGCTGTAACACCAAACTTCAACTTTTTACTTTTACATAGTAATATAAACTAGCCGTTTCCGTAACAACAGATCTATCTAATCGGCAAAAACCCAGAATCGTTTTCTTTTGTTCCACCTCGAGCACAAAGTCCATCAGTGGTTTCCAAACAAAAGCAATTGTTGTGAAATGAAGGCAAATATATACGTGTGCCAGGATACTGTGGCGGGATCCAATTTGGGCCACTCACCAGGACCAAAGGTTTTGTCTCCCGTGCTTTCAGACTCATGCCGGAGCCCATCCTCAGAGAACGTCTCTCGAGCAGAGTGAGTTTATGAGGTTCTGTGTGTGGTACTTATGCGGTGCAGTTGTACGTGGCTTTTTAGATATTGATTGGGGTGTCATTGACGGCTGGCTTTTAAATCATTGGCTGTCACTCAGCCCTCGCCTTCTAAGTACTTGATCAACTGGTGGTAAACACACGTCAACTTGTAAAGCATTCCCATGACTTTGATCAAGCTGACATAGAAAAGGGAGGAGAATTCCATGCATACCTTTGGCGAGAGTCAGATCTCATATTTCTGCAGCTGGGCGTGTGAGGTGCGCAAGTTCATAGTCTGCTGCAGGACCTCGTTGGTGGATGTGATTTATGACACAGATGGAGGGGAAGGGAGACACAGAACTTTCAGACACCTTTAAGCGGAAATAAGATTTGGCTCCACGGCAGAAGAAAATGCCAAAATGCTGCTCCTAACAAATGCCTGGATTTCTTTTGAACTTTGTCTCGAGGCTTGTAATTTACTCAGGGCATATTTTGGAAACTTCACAGATTTGAAAATAAATGCTTGATCTGAAGAGGCCCANCGCACATGTGCCACAATCCCACCACACCCCCTTTTGGGCCTAGTAGGCATACCTGCAGCTTCCTGGGAGCAAAATCGGGCCATGGGGGGGCCCCTGCACCGCCCTCACCCCCACACATGCGTGCCCTCTGCTCATACATGTGCACCTGTCATGTGCATCCCACCCACCCCCGCACATGCGTGGCAGGGACTCGGAAATCAGCTGGCTGGCGGGAGGAATGTGCGCATGTTTCTCAAAAGCGCTGGCGAGGGATAGAAACAGGACATTCCGCTGTTTGCAGCTTTTGAACGGAAAGGGGAAGGAAAGTTTTCTCCAAACACGTGCGGGGGGGGGGGGTCTCTCATCCTCAGGCGATGAGACGGTTTCAGACGGCCAAGAGCTTGCCTTTCGAAGACGAACCGGAGGGCGACCAGCAGGAGAGTGATGGGCAGGCAGAGCAGGAGGTGATGGGGTTGGGGGTAGCGGATGTCCTCCGTCTCCTGCAGGTCCTCCCAGGTGAACCCTGGAGGTAGCCAGTATTCCTGTCTCCAAAGCCACTGTGTGAGCTGAGCCATCTCCCTGGGAAGAGAGAAGAAAGGCAGGAGGTGAGATGGGGAACGGATAAAGAGTTTTTTCCGGAAGGAAGGTCCCGTCTCAGCCCTTCCTACGCCACCTACACTATACGTAACCCTTGACTTACAACCACAACAGAGAGCCAAAGTTGCTGTCTCTAAGCAAAACAGTTTCTAAATCTGCTCCACGTTCCCACTTTTCTTGCCAGGTGTGCAGTGGTGCAATTCAGCCGGTTTTATCCGGTTCGGGCGAACTGATAGTGGTGGCGGTGGGAGGCTCCGCCACCACTATCGGAGTGCCCTGTTTTTGACACTCTGCGCATGCACGGAATGTTTCTGCACATCCGTGGAGGTGCAGAATACAGCACTGCAGGCTACTTCAGCTGACTGCTAGTTCGGCAGTTCGGCCGTTCAAATCTCACCGGCTCAGGGTTGACTCAGCCTTCCATCCTTCCGAGGTGNAATGCAGAGGGGAGTATTATATATTAATGTTATCTTAATTTTATGCCATTAGGAAAAATAATGAAATTTCTGCAATAATATCCTTATATATGTAACTGATATCCAGGTATAATTGATTCCTCCACCCACCAAATAGTCTGCTAAAATGAGGCTTGATCGTTTCTTTCTTTTTCTTCCAAATTTACTCAATTAAATTGTATTAATTAAATATCCCATCTTTAACATAAGAGGATTTCCATCTTTGAAAAAAAAATCAATTTCTCAGGTTTAAAATGAATTATCTCCTAAAATGCACCTTTTGAAAAATAAATTGACAAGTAAATTAAGCTGGATAAAGTAAGAAGTTAATTTCCCCAATACTATACTTCCTTCCCCTTTTAAAATTAAATTGATTGCTCATTGTCATCTGCTGTTATTGCATCTGGAATAATGGTCATTCAACTGGTACATTAGTAAATATGAAGAATCTACCAGCTAGATCTTTGAAGATGGATATATTCAGCCTTCATATCTGAAAACTCATACCAACTGGGAGGTGTTCTGTCACAGTCTACTTTAATGATTTTAATACTTAGAATCCTGCTAGCTTCTTCCCCTTCAGCCCTTCAGCAATATATATGTGCTTATGGGGACAGTTCTATGGAATCCCTAGGCCTCTTGTCAGATAATCTCAGAAGACATTTATCTATCCCATGCTAAATATCTGTGGAGATTCTCAGTCTTCCAGGTCATGGTTGTCCCAAAGATGCTTTTTCAAGAGGCAATTGGACTTTCTTGTTTTTCTTTAAAGACGTTTCACTTCTCATCCAAGAAGCTTCTTCAGTTCTGACCACGCCCCCCCTGCCCAATCCAGTCAGTTGAAGAAGCTTTGTTTCAATCTGATCCAAAAATAATATTTAGCTTATATTTAAAAATACAATATCATATATATGTAATATGCATACATAATTGTAGTTGCATACTATTACCAGTAATATAATTTATCTTATCATAGATTATGTGCCCCGTTTCCCTGAAAATAAGACCTCCCCGGAAAATAAGCCCAATTGGGTTTTTGAGCGCATGCGCTAAAATAAGCCCTCCCCCAAAAATAAGCCCTCCTCAAAAATATTGCAGCCCAGCAGCAGCTATGAGGTGACCAGGCTTGCTGCCTCCTGCACCTCAATAATAATAAGACCTCTCCAAAAATAAGGCCAAGCGCTTATTTCAGAGGTCGAAAGACACGGTATCTGCAAGATACAGATCTGTTTGTATCTGCAAACATTTTTTCCAGGCATTAGGCTGCTACTCAAAGCTACTTCTTGCATTTAAAAATAATTTTTTGACATATCCAGTCCCCTAACAAATAAAAATTCTCTCTGTACTATATTTCAAATCATCAACATGTTTCTAATAGCTCACACTGAACCTAATAATTTCAAGCTCAAAGACTGTCAAGGATCATTAGTATGAATAAACCATATAAAAGCCTTGAGAGACTATCAT